GTCATTAAGAAGACAAGAAAGAAAAATTAAAGGATGGGAAAAAATATATCAAGCTAATTGCAATAAAAAACAAGGAGTGGCAATATTAATCTCTGACAAAATAAACTTTAAGGCAAAAACCAGCATAAGAGACAAAGAGAGGCATTATCTAATGATTAATGGGTCAATTAAACAAGAGGACATCACCATAATAATTATCTAGCTCCCAACTAAAGAGCCTCAAAATACAAAAATTAACCTTAATGAAACTGAAAAAAGAAATAAGCAACTCTAAAATAATAGTGGGAGATTTTAATGTACCACTGTTGAAAAAGAACAAACAACCAGAAAGAAACTCAACAAAGACACAGAGGAACTAAATAATACAATCCATCAACTTGACCTCATAAATGTGTACAGAGCATTCAACCCAACAATAGCACAATATGGATTCTTTTCTAGTTCAAATGGAACACTCTCCGGAACAGACCATGTCTTAGGCCCCAAAGAAAGTCTCTATAAAGTAAAACACATCAAAAAGCTACAAAGCATCTTCTCAGATCACAATGCTATAAAATTAGGTATCAACAACAGGAAGATCAAGGAAATAAAATCAAACACATGGAAACTGAATAACACCCTGCTAAAAAGCTACCGGGTAACAGAATAAAAAATGAGATGAAAAAATTCCTAGAAACAAATGAGTGAAAATGCAACATATCAAAACCTCTGGGACACAGCAAGAGCAGTGCCGAGAGGACAATTTATAGAAATAAATGCACACATACAAAAAGACGGAAGGACCAAAATCAACACATGAACACAACATTTCCAACAATTAGAAAAATACCTGTAAAGTAACCCTGCATTCACGATCAGAAAAGAAATAATGGATGAGAGCAGAAATAAATGAAATAGAAAACAGAAACAAAGAAAGAATCAATAAGACAAGAAGCTGGTTCTTCGAAAAGATTAATAAAATCAACCAATCACTGGCAAATCTAACAAAAGAAAAGAAAGAGAAGACGCAAATAACATTGCAGAAGAAACCATATGGGTGATGTAAAAACAACTAATGGAAATAAAGAGGATAATAACAGAAAACTATGAAGAGTTGTACTCCAACAAATTTGAAAATCAATTAGAAATGGATACATTTTAGAAAAACACGACCTACCTAAACTTACACAGAGTGAAGTAGAAAACTTGAACAGACCTATAACAAAAGAAGAAATTGATCAAGTCATCAAAAAACTCCCAACCAAAGAAAGTCCAGGTACAGATGCTTCACTGGTGAATTTTACCAAACATTCAGAGAAGAGCTGACACCAACTTGACTCAAACTATTCCAGAATATAGAAAAGGATGGAAAACTTTATAGACCAATATCCCTCATGACCAAAGACGCAAAAATTCTCAATAAAATTCTAGCCAAATAGACAATGATGTAGAGAGATGGAGTGGCTGGGGACTCAAGACCCAGAGATGGAGAGGGGTTATGTGTTGATGACTGGGGGGCAGGCTTGCAGGGTATATACTTTTGTTGGTTGATGATGCATGGAGGGGAATGTAAGCACAGCAATGAAACAATACACGATAGGATAAATGTAAAGCTAATGTTCTTCCATGTAAACTATCACATAATTCACAATAAACATTTAAAAAAAAAACTCTAGCCAACAGAATTCAACAAACATAAAAAAAAATTATACATCATGACCAAGTGAGATTCATTCCAGGGATGCAAGAATAGTTCAATATTAGAAAAACAGTCAATATAATTTGGCATATAAATTAACAATAAAAGGAAAAGAACCACATGATTATATTGATTGATACAGAAAAGACATTTGACAAAATCTAATATCCACTCTTGATAAAAAACACTCAACAAAGTAGGAATTGAAAGGAAATTCCTCAACATAATTAAGACAAATCTATATATACAAATCCAAAAACCAGATTACTTTCAATGGAGAGACACTGAAGGCATTCCCTTTGTGAACCGGAGCTAGCCAAGGATGCCTTTATCACCACTCCTATTCAATATTGTGCTGGAAGTCTTAGC